AGTAGTAGTAGTAGTCGTAGCAGTAGGAGGAGGAGGAGGAGTAGAGCAGCAGCAGAAGCCGTAGCAGTAGCAGAAGCAGTAGCAGCAGCCGTAGTGGCGGTGGTAGTGGTACTTTTGGTAGTGGTAGGAGACAGTAGTAGTAGTAGTAGTAGTAGTAGTAGTAGTAGTAGTAGTAGTAGCACTAGTAGTAGTCGTAATAGTAGTTTTATTATTAGTAGTGCTCGTAGTAGGTGTAGGTGGAGTTGGAGGATGTATGTGAAGCAGTAGTCGTGGCTCGTCCCTGTTACTGTACAAGGCTTCGTACCTGGAACCTGCGTGACCGGCAGGCAGTACTCGGCCCGGCCCCTCCAACCTAGCCCCAGCTGACGCCAAAGGGTGGCATGTGTTTTCTGTCGAGAGTTGCTTTTTCAGAGCCGACATTCCTCTCATTCCCATGCGTATGCAAGGTCACCGAAGGTGGCGCCACTTTCGACTTCATCAGCGGACTCTCGTCTGGCATGTGGCTGCTTCTCCGGAATATTTCTTCCCACTACACACCGCATTCTTGAATCTGCGATGCAGAGTAGCCGAACAAACAGTCGAAGTTGTTCTAGAGAGTTGTTCTGTCGGGTTGCTTTCTCTTTTCCAGAGACACAGGGAAATTCCGGCAATTCTGCATATGAATGAAAAGATAAATCAGACTGACGTATAACCTTCTGGATCCCAGCCCGCTTTCGCACAGGGCTTGCTGCCCCACGCGGCCTTACATGGGACGGTGACCAGACCATCTTCGTAGCTGATGAGGCTGAAATGTCGGCTGGTTCCGCGACATTTTCGTCAGGCAGTCTGGGTTTAAAGGTCTCAGATGCTGTAGCTATGGAAAACCAGGAGAGCGAAGGCACAAGTCCTCGTGACCCTAGGGCAGAGTCGAAACCCCACTACTCCCGCCCCAGCGCGAGGCCGCTGGCGTCGTCGCAGTCTCAGCCAGGGAGCAGATGCGGACGAGGGTTTTCAGCATTGGAGTCCAGACAGAAGCCAGGAGTAATAACAACGAAGTTCATGAAACATGCGAGCGAGCGATCCTTCTATTTGGCTTTGCCACCGTCTCGCTGGCTTGCTTTGCCCCGTGCGCCCATAGCATCCCATATCTTCCGAGGTCTGTGTCAGTATTGGAGTTGTTGAAGCCTTAAACTTAGGCCCTAAACCCTGGATCCTAAATGCCCTCTGTGACACGGGCCGACCTTACGACATGCGTAGGTTCAGCCTGCAGCCACAAAGGCGTATTTCGCTTGTGGCCCCAAAGTTCGCCACCCCCGGTATCTACCCTGGCCCTAAACCTTAATCTTGAAATTCCTAAGGCCCTATAAACCCAAAACACCCCTTCATGCACAAATCGAGAAGTGTACCGAAACCTCGGTTCACTGACAGATAACTGGCCCAGGTCTACTCCTTCCCCGGCGGCCGATTGATGACCGGAGTCCCCTTCACAAAGAGCGCCGTGCTGCATGGCGCTTTCGGTACCTGGGCCGAACACCTTGCGATACCTTTCGCTTCCACCCTTTAGACGAAGTAGGGCAGCTTTCGACACCTGATGTGGTATCGGGCTCAAACAAAGACGAAAAACGAAACACCCGTTTCCGACGTTTGGCTCATGCGCTTCTGTGGTCCAGCCCGGAGAGAAGGGACGGGTTGCATAAGCAACTATAGGATGCGAAGTGGTCTTGTACAAGAACGCACAATCTGAAAGTGACGGGAGACAGCATTTAAGTGAAACAACAGGTACAGGTACTGGGCCGTGACAACCCATGAATTCTCCAATTGTTGTCGTGTGCAAGAATGTAATGTAGGTTATGCCTGTGCCATCCTTTTTCCTCCACTTCGGAGAAATTTTGGTGGGCCGAAATGTGTTTGTATGAGACAGAGATTGCGGGTCGTGGGGCTGGGGGGATCGGGGATGAGGAGCTTGCCTTCCGGGTGTGGAAGCTGGCACGAGACCACGCCAGAAATTCTTGTCGGCTTGCGCTGATACTGTAGTGGCCTTAGCAATTACCTACAAGATGTTGGGGGCTCCTTATTATAATTATAGTATAAGTGGGCCCCAAAACCCTGTTCTAGTTATGAAGGCCCCTATATTAGTGCGGAGGCCGGGGAGGCTCAAGGCCAAAGCAGCTGGGCCCAACCGCGGATTGTGAGGACCCGGAGAACTACTGCTGGTGTTACAACTTCTCTACTAGTGTAGAGTTTAGGGTTTAGGGTTTAGGGGTTTAGGGTTTAGGGTTTAGGGTTAGTAGTGGCTACAGACAACTACGTTGCCGCTGCTAGTGTTGTTGCCACTCCTCCTCCTCCAACAGCAGTTGTGGCTACTACCGCTGCCACCGCCACTGCCACTCCGACCCACTCCCACTATAGCATTGCCACTACGTCTGCGCCTACGACTACGACTACTATGACGGCTGTGCCACCAGGTTTGTCGGTCTTCTCCGAGCATGACAAGGCATGCTGGGGAGTCTCGGAGTCTTGGGCCTGGGGAGGGTTTCAGGTGGGTCTAGGGTCTAAGGGTTTGAGGCGAAAGGTTGCAGGTTGGGGGCTTTGGGAGTTTGGGGTCAGGGGTTTCTGGTTCATGGAACTCCAGAAAAAGAGTTGGAGGCTTCGTTTTCTGGTGTTGAGCTTCCTATAGAGGCTATTTTGGCTTGCGTCAAGGGGAAGTCTTGGCCTGATTGCCAGTTGAAGGATATTGGCGGTCTGGGCAGAGTGTTGCTTCGCCTGTGTTGGTTCCTTTACAGAAAAGGTTCCATTAGGGTTACCATAAGGGTTCCATAAGGGTTTAGGCCCTAAGCCCTAAACCCTACTTCTGCTACTTTACTGATGTCCGGGTGAGTGCGACCACTTGTCCTCCTTGTAGCAGTTTGGAGACCGAACTATGCGGAGCCTTGCCGGCCTTGTGCGAGTGTGAGAGTCGAAACCCTAACTTTAGGGTTTACAGTTCAACATAGAAGCGCGAGTACTTAGTAATAGTATTCCTCTAGGAGGACTTTGCACCATCTGAAAGAAAGAATATTAGTCTTAAGGGTTCCTTAACTTACAGTTATAGTACAAAAAACCCCAAGTCCTGTTCTAACTATAGAGACCATCAGCATTCTAAAGCATCATGCTTATTATGGCCACATCACACTGCAAGTCGTTGGGGAACCGAAGCCCGAACCTTCCAAGGCACTGCCGACACCCCACTCAGCACTTCTAGTATTTCGGGGTGCGGGTGGGCTTTTTTCTGGGCCAGGCCTGGCCAATGCAGCCGTTCCGTGGATGACTGTTGCTGCCGCTTGGTGAGGGGTTTCCGGGTCTCTGGGTACCCGAAAGGCCGGAAGCCCGACAAAAACAAACCGAAGCCTCGAAGATGGGTAGGGTTTAGGGTTTAGGGTTTAGGGTTTAGGGGGGCGAGCTCCAATCAAGCCTGTGTAAAAAAGGGTTTAGGGTTTAGGGTAGCAAATC